AATGCTCTGCAGGCCTAGTTTACCCATTTAAGGTTGATTGCTTGATGCTCAATGACAGTGGCACTCATCTTATATGGATATTATATATGTTGTTAATGCCTTTTTCATTTGGCTATTGCCTGCTAAGTTTTTAGATAGCTTTGGACTGGTAGACACTCCTCACATAGCAGAGAGGAGAATAACATCCATCTGGGCTGACATCATGTGATGTTGACATGTGTTCGCCATATTTTTTAAATTGTGTGTTTTGTATGAAGTTATTTTTTTTCAAATATTGAAAAAGAGATCTTGTTTGTTCCCATGTGTATGTTGCTGTTTGCAGACCTCTTTTTGACATAAGATAGTGTGCTTGTCATAGGAAAGATAAAGTTGACACATCTGGGGAATTTAATATTACCAGTACCCCTCTACCTAGGAGAGCTTTACACATCTGGTGGATCTAAATAAGTGTAGTCTTAATGCAACATGAGATGTTGACAATTCACAAAAGAATTATCATCAAAGCAGTGTTGTACATGTTTTTTCAATGCTATTTTTCACCAAACACGCACCTGGGTGGCCGTCTGGATGCCCTTCGCTCAGGTGGGGGGGGGGATCAGTTTGACCCGCATTAAGATCTTGAGAATTAGCAGAGCTAGAGACACCAAATCTACAGGGGTGTTGACCCATATGTACACTCACTTAAGTCAAAGCTTCAGGTTCTTAGGTCATGACCTTCAGGTCAAATTATGTCAAACAGGGTCAAAATCCAGGTTGGTCTCCAAAATGTCCCCAGAACTTAGATAACCATTTCTTAGCAAAAGGTCTCATGCTCAGTTAAGGTCAGTGACCATGTTTGACTTTTTGAAGGTCATGGTGACCAAATCATGCAAGCTGCTCTGAGTTTCGCATTTCAATAAATGACAAAGATTGCGCTAGGTAGTATGTTCTGAAAAACAAAATGTTGACCTGCATCATTTTAGGTCAATGACCCATTCTAACCTCTGAGAAGTCTATGGAAGATGTATAATGCGGTTCCTGCTATCAACAAATTCGAAATGAGTGCCAGAAACTCCCCCATACAGCAAGCCCTAGGGTAATAAAACAGGTTGGTTTTGTGCTTGGTCTGACCTTCATACCTGACCTCAGGTCGATGCAATTTGTTCATTCAACTGCTGTGTTGCCTAAGAAAGCATCCCAGAGATGAATGGCTTCATGTAGCACTCAGTTGTGGTATCAGATTGAACGATTCCCGAGAATCTGACTTAGCTGAAACCATGGCCTGACTTTGACCAGCTATAGGTCAGCGACCTTACAAGGTACGTGTACATTTTTAATGCTGAACGATCCTCTATTCAATTGTCTACAGCTATGCAAAATTTGGCGCGGCTGCTCCGCGCCGTTCGGAAACCGTTCCGGAAAAACCTTCGGGGGGTTAATTTGACTCCTAACCCGAGAGCGTGTTAAAGAAGGTGCAGTGTGCATGTCTCAACTCTCAAAGGGGGCTTGAATTAATAAGGTGTGTGTGCATTTATGCATGCATGTGTTTAGGTGTGTATATGTGTTTGTCCCTATGCGCATCTGAATACATGAAAAGTGCATGTTATATGTTTACGACATGGCTCTATGTAGCATATGGAGCTGCTTAAAATATATGCTAAGGACTCTCCAAGCATAGCCATCATATTTTTTTTAAAGACTTTGAAAGCAGTTCCTTAGACACTTTAAGCCAGGTTCTATGTTCTGTTCCTGTTCAGGCCTAGGCCCAGGGGCATTTTTTTGCAAGATAAGTTGGTGCGTTGCGAGAAAAAAAAATGGCTAAACATGACGTCCAGAATGCTCCAGAAATGCTCTTCTCCCATTTTTAATCCACTTTATTCTCAAAGATGGGTGGCGGGTACATTCAACTGCATTGAGCGTTGCAATCCTGGGCAGGCTTGTCGGAACGACCTGTTGCACACATTGTTGGGACCCGTGACATCTGGCGCGACTTCTCACACAAACACAGTTAAGATATCGCTCACTAGATGGCCATGCGGCCAGGCCGCAGTCCAAAGTACATACAGAAAAAAGGTGCGTATGGTCGTCAGTCGTCTTAAAACGGTCGTTCGTCTGAGATTGGTCCGGATAAAGAACGGACGGTAGTAAATTCGTCATGTGAAAAGTTAGTATTGAACAAAGTTCGTGCAGGGGATGGCTCGTGTCCTAAAATCCTCGTCAGGAAAAGTTCCTAACGAAAATGGTTGTCTGGAAGAGTTTGTAACGAAAAGTTGCGCACTTTTTTGTAAATGTTCGTACGCAAATGGTTGCCAGGGATAAAATTTTTCGGACAAAAGTGCGTACGTAAAAAGTGGTATTGCAATGTATGACGTAAATACGCGAATTTCAGTCGTAAATGCTTGTCATCGATAACGCTCTCCCAAAAGTACACACCCAAAAGTTTGTATGCAGAGGTGTAATATGAGCTCGAATTTAGATCCGCCAGTGCGGCGTACCACACCCCGTCGACCGAAGACGTAGTGAATCACATTGGTGGGCTTCAACTTGCCTGTAATTTGTTTAAGTTATTTTCCAATAGAGGCCGTCCATACGTTACATCACGCGCTTTTTATCGCTCTACCCTCCCTCCACCCGTGTTTCTGCATTGGTTACGCTGGGTGAACCCCTCCCCCCCCCCTGCCTCTCGTTGCGCGGTGTACGTGGCGTCCCAAAAAGTAGTGTTCATTTAGTCCCCAATTGAGCTAGAAGTACGAAAGAAATGACAGGCGTGTTCCTCTTCATGACAGGAATCCAACAGTACCTGTATGTAGGCTTTGCTTTGTGTTTAAGGATCTTGGCACACTTTGTAACCTGATAGCACACCTGACCGTAACGTTACGATGTCCACCCCCTTGATATCAGCAAAAATACCGTTATCTTTTTGCTTTTTGGCATTATTAGCTCAGAGTTCTTATGCCGAGTACTCTCAATGTGGTGGGTGGCAGATGCCGCGCGCGCGCGAGCGACCGTCGTAAAATAATGCTTCCGCATATCTTAAAAGATGAATTTGTACCGTACAGAGGCTAGGTGTATCTTTTTCACGACTTTGAGCTTATCCTCTGGATATATTAATAGCTACAGGATGGCAACCTGACAAAATAAACTTTTACTCTTCCAGCTCTGCCACTTGATTCCAGCACCATTTCGCAGTGCTGTAAAGGGCGCAGTGCCGTTCACGGCATCCATTTAAATGCCGTATAGGTGAAATATACGCGCGGCTGCCTTCTCAATGTACGGTTTGGCGTCCAAAAGCGTTTAAAGATACTTTCAAATGCGTCATCATTTTCGTCCAGCCGTCGGCCACGGTCACGGCTTAGTGTTAGCCGCGGGGCCGACATTACGCGGCTTATGGAAACCGCAACAACTGACATTGAGGTTTTTGTCGGTAAGATTTGCGAGCGCGCATGCTCAAAACTACCTTTTATAAGTTGTATCCCTAATTAACTCTGATTGAATGTTTGACATCTACAGACAAACATTGCGTAGCCATGTTAATGCAAATTACTAACGCAACTCGATCTACATCCGCGGGGTCCTTAATATCGCTGTATAGCCCAGATACAGACTGCGACGAGGCTTCCGAGTCCCATCGGTTAAGAAACAGTCCACGGGGCGTTGTAAAGCTAAGGGTGACGGTGATTTATTCCATGCAGTCGTTAAATGCATGATTTTTTCAGCGAAATGACTATGGAGTTTAGGCAGCATTGATCTCCCGGAAGTTTCTGGCTTCTATTCCAGTTACTTAAGTAAAAATGAAACAATAAAATAAAGCAGGCCGTCGTTAGCAAATGGACCCTATTCTGCTTTTTTTCTTGCGTGCCTTCACTATTGGGGGGTCCCTTCGTCAGCCCTGTTGCCCGCCCTGGCCAAGGCTCCGGCTGCGCGCCAGAGCGCGTTAGTGTGCAGCTAGACTGGGCTTAGCAGATACTCACCAATAATGGATACGCAAATTCGGACTTTGACAACGACATAAAGTCTTTGCCCGAAAAACACTTAAAAAGCGAACGAAATTTCTCGGGGAGACGGTTGCTTCTTTGCGCTATTTTACACAAATGCGAACTCCCTTGCTGGACAGTGGATGAGAAAAGAACACCACGCCGCCATACTCACCAGAACTGTGTTGGTCACAAACACAACCACATTAGCACATTCCACAGACTTTAAACGCCTTATCGCACTTAAAACATGGAACGTCAGAGATATGGCACCCATCAACGTGCAAAATAAGCAGCTCACGCAGCTGCCGCTATACGACATGAGACTAAAAAACAGCCCCCCCCCCTCCACCCCGTCTCCGAAGAATACACCCGGGACCATTAGAGCCTGCTTAAAAAAAATTATTATCAGCCGTGCAGTAGCATACCCTGAATTACATCATGCACTTTACAAACGTTAGTTTTGCAATGTCTTGATCGTGTAATTCGGAAAACTACGAAGGGAAACGAACTGGTATTTGCTGTGTTTGACTGCATGCACAATGCGCAACTTTTTCGTGCAGAACACGACCATCGATTTGATCGAAACTTAGACCATCAGCTGAACGTTGATGATATTTTGTGTCAATCGCTGAAAACAAGACATAAGCAAAGAAGGTGCTATGCTCCAGTGTTTCCAGTAGCATGAGGTCGATGCTCTGATACTGGCAGTTATCTGTCTTCATTGTCCAGAAAGATGGTGATTAAATAACGTCATTAAATAAGCATTGATAATGCTGCTAATAACCGACGTTTCGAGCTGCACTCATAGTTACAGGTCAAAAACCGCGAACTAGGACCAGCAAGGTCATAAACGCACCTAGTCTGCTGTAGTTGGCAACCAATTATGCCTATGACCACCCTTGTATACATTAATGTACAACGTATACACCCACACCCACATGCGGGGGCGAGGTGGCGGTCCGGCGCATGCCACACTTTGGCCCGGTAGCCGGCGCGGCCGGCGCGGCCGGCTACCGCGGTCCGGGCGGCCGGGCTGCGCCAGTGCAGCGTCGGACTCCGCCGCGCTCGGTCCTGTCCGCTCCGCCCCCGTCCCGTCGCCAGTCCACACGCAGGCGGAGGATGGTGAGTGCTGACGAGGGAGGGAGGGAAGGAGGGGGGGGGGGGGCGAGTTGGGTGATCAGGGGTGCGCGGTCTGATACGCCGTCGATTACCGGAGTTGGACGAGTGCCGTGGGTATCACCGTCTGGTTTTGGTGTTCCCATGCCAATCATCCAACGGTCGCTGAAGGCGGGCAGACGGACGCACCGTTGACGGATGTGGTGACCGGCGAACCCTAGTTGGGTGTAACGCTGAGCGGGTAGACGTGACACCTGAGCACCTGAGGTAGTTTGTGAAATGTCAGGGCGCTTATTGTCGTAGGCATCTGACGTTCAGGGCGTGCTCATTGCGCTCAAGGCATGCGTATGCGTTCAGGACATGATAAGTATTGTTTCGGTCATGTTATGTCTGCCACGCCCCTACTTCCAGTGGACGATCGCATATATGGCTCTACTGCTTTCCGTTTGGGTTTCTGCTCTCATGGATGCGTGGGCTGGCCTACGCCTCGGTGATGGGATCAGCCATCGACAGTGAAGGGTCTCCTGTCGTTACTGGCCGACACTCGCCGATGTGACGCCTTCTGTCACACTGTTGCAGGCGCCGACCATGAAGGACCGCATCATCTCCGCAGCCGTGTTCGTAATATCGGGTATCGTCATGTGTTACGACATCATCACGATCCCGATTTACTGCATCCTGCAGTGGCCCTGGGTCCAAGTCAGAAAGGCCAAGAAGATTCGGGTATGTACCGCACTCCTGCCACGGATAGCAGCCGGTGCCAGTTTACGCGTTCCAGGCGCGTGACTGGAGGCACGTCTTGCACTTCGCACCGTATTTCTGCCTGGCTGTGTCTGGCATTGCAGAAAGGCATGCGCATCCATTACTAAGGACTGTAATCGTGCCTTAATGCCACAGTAATGATAAGTGGCGTCATGATGTGGAGTAGTGTTCAGGTCCGTATGGCTAGCTCGGTCCGCCATTCCTCGGTGGAGTGCAAAGGGGGAGGGGGGGGGGGGAGAACGGTTGTTCAGGGGCTGTGACCAGACTATCCGCCGGTCTGCCGTCCCTCGGCTGTGGCAGGAGGACACTATTCAGGGCTGTCGCCAGACCACCCTCCGGTCTGCCGTCCCTCGGTTGTGGACGGAGGACGCTGTTCAGAGCTGTGCCCAGACTACCCGCCGGTCCGCCATCCCTCGGCTGTGTGGGGAGGGACGCTGCTCAGGTCTGTCACCAGACCATCCGACGGTCTGCCATCGTAATAATAGCGCTACAAGCGAGCATTTAAATGCATGTAAGCGTCTTCAACTCGCGGACGACTATGCAAGAACACCACGGGAAGGGCCAAAATACGGGCACCTAACGATATCCGGTTCAGCACACATCCAGCATTGCCGCGGGCCACCTCTCAAGAGTTCGGAGAACTACGAGTGAGTCCTTTCGTGCAAACGTCCCGTGACGCAATCAGACAATGAGGTATTGAGGAGCATGTTCGTTCAATAGATAAATTTTGTTGTCAAGAGCAGTTTTTCCACTTAAAGTGAGCTTATTTCGTCTTATCTGATGCTTGCTTCAATATATTCGAATGTGGAACATTCCATCTAAGAATACGAGTGTGTGGAAGTAGGCCTTCTAAGTGCGCGCCCTGTATGAGCAAGCCTGCTGTACACTTGGCTTCTAGAAGCAGGCATTCTGAAAACATATCCTGTGCAAGGATATGTTCTGTACGTAGACCTTCGGAAAGTCGACCTTTTGCATGTAGGTCTCCCAAACATGGGCCTTCTAAACGTAGGCTTTCTGAAGATTAGTCCTCTGTAAATAGGCTTTGCGAATACACTTGTCGAAATTGACGTTATGGAATTGGGTTTATAAACGCAGGTGCTCTGAGCTAAGTTTTATGGGGGTAGGCTTTCTGAAATACGCGGTTTGGAAACAGGCTCCCTGGAAATACCCCGTTTGAAAAAGGTCTCATAAATGGAGGCTTTGTGAGTGTAAAACTGAAAATGTACCCCGCAATACGTGACCTTTCCGACTCACCCATTTCCTGAGGTATCTTTAGAATAACCATATCCAGTGTCCTAACATTTTCGGCCACCGAGTTATCTAAACTCGTGCGCTCTGGAAAATTTAAAGACTACCGTTCGTCGGTCACCGGTGATGGCTTCTTTGTCAGGGTTTTGTCGATCGTATGAAGCGCTCTGGCGCCAGATAGCACACGCTGATGGAACACTGTGTGTTTTAAAGGTGTTCCCTGCTTGTGTACTCTGCCCTGTGTCACCATTTTGGATTATTATTATTGCGAACCTTGACGAAATCCAGCGAGTGGCTATTCTAACGCCGCGTCAGTGCATACTACATAGATCAACACAGAACACGCAACATATGCAAATGAAACGCAACGCCAGCGATGCTCATGCGATGTTATAAAGACATGGGCGACTTGTGATACAATCAGCAGTTGCACCTCATGGCCAGTTGGTCAATTTATGGAAGTGCTCGGATGCAAGACATTGCTTTGCCCTTGAACTCATGTGAGTTTTTATTCCGGCGCGTTGCAGCAGGGAGGCGATTCCACGCCGCTACGGCTCGATAGGGAAATGCCCTTTTCACGCACTCTAAGTGAGGGTGTTTAACAGCGCTCGTTTGCCGTGCAGTTACATCGTCGGTGGCTCTGGTGTGCCGCTGAGATGCTTCAGATCGACGCCTGGTCAGGTTACTGATAGCCCGTGGTCCATCAGGCACGTAAATGGCGCGATGCAAATGGATGGTGATGCTATTCTGTGGAATGCAATTAGATGACGTCAGCCCAGGCCAGCTGTGGTCAAATGCACCAAATGAAGAAAGATATGGGAGTCGGGAATGGCACGTGACATTCATTTCCTGGTTTAAACCTGGCGTCACCTGCCTCGTCAACCTACCCTGTGTGGTTTTTTAGATCACGGAGTGGGGCCCGTGCGTACAAGGGTTAATCCACATGACCTGCCCCAGACAGGTCACAGGTCACGAGTCACAGGTCACACATTACGGGTCACGGGACACGGGGCACGGGCCATGGATTGCAGGTCACGGGCCACAGGTCACGCGATTAATTGGTGTTATCTGGGTATGCCTCAGTCTGCCACCGGCCGTGTTTTACTTTCCCCACTGCAGTGTTGGAAATTCAAAAAAAATCCTGGCAGCGGAGAACAAATTTTTTATAATAAGTACAAAAATATCCGAGTACCGTGGGTTATCACAACTTTATTTAGGCTATCTTTGAGAGATAACAGTACGATGGGTGGCACTGAACAAAAGCGCCACTTTTCATATACCGCAATTAATGTAAAATAATTGAAAGGAAACATCAGTATTAAACGTGAGACACTGAAACAACACGGTCTCAGACTCTGTACTATGAAGCACAGGTGCATGTATGCGGGTTTGCAATTTATGAAAGGCTGTGCGTATGCATCCTCCAAAACGGCGGGTGGTTACGCGTCGGACTTATACATGCTCCAAAATGGAGGGCGGCTACACACCGAGCTTATACACCCTCCAACGCGGAGGGTGGCTACGATGCGTACAGCCAGAGAAAAAAGGTGCACAAAAAAATGCAAACGAACGTGGCACAGACGGCCACCTACTTATGCTCCACCACGATCACGCTAGTCACATTCCACTACGGTCACGCTACTCACGCTCCAACACGGTCACGCTGCTCACGCTCCACCAGCTAACTGGCTTTAAAAACGGCTAAACATGAACGCCTTCCACCTCCTGGACAACACAAGAGCCCCGCACGCCCCAGCCGAATAATACAGACAGGCAGCACTCTCAACCGATTTACTGAGCCAGCGCAGGTACGATGTCTGACAGGCCCGCCCAGGCCGGCCAAAAGGGATTGGAGTCAGTCACTCCGCTGACTCCGGCGGATGATATAATGTCTATATGGATTTTGATGCGCTTTAACCCATATCATTGTGAAATATGATAATTTATGTTGCAATTCATGGATGTTTTTGTCCGAATAAGCCCTTCCCCTTAATTTGCCGGGCCAAAGTTATGGGTTCATGTTACTCTGGTGTCCTGGTGTGTTTGCCGGAGTGAGATGGCTGTCTCCGAACAGTTTTTGGCCATTTATAGCAACGTTTTCGACTTTAAGTCTATTTTTTGTAAAGCTTGAATTATCAGCTCTAATTTCGCGCCGTTAAGTGACAACTTAGATTTGATATAAATCCCTAGCTGCCATTACACTTTTGTACTCCGGATACCAGGAAGTGGCCAAAAATCCAACCACGGAGTGGTTCTGGATGAGTACTAATAAGTCATTCGCCATAATCGTGGTGCCCATTTCTATACACCTTTCCTCCAAATAGTTACAAATTTTGTCAAGGCATGAGCGCGAGCAAAATGTTTATGCTGTTCACAAATCAGTCAGGAGGAGGCAAATCATTAAAACCAATTGCAGAATTTTGCTATGTTCAACCTCCAACCTGAGCTGAGTGGCAGGCGCAAGCCGCTGAATAGTAGAGACGTTTCCGACGCTAAATTGTGAGTGATTCTCTTATTTGTATTGCCATGACGCAGTGATGGCGCGTGAGTAGCCGGCCATCTATGGTACATGCTTAGTTGTGTGGTATTCTGTGATCGTTCTCTGCATCTTTGGCAATTTACGCGGTTCGTCGTCAATGGTATGTTAAGTCATGTTCAAGTTTCAGATGGTCTGAGTAGGGCATAGGAAGTGAGAGTTTACTAATCTTCAGACCGGTGCAATTCTGCTACTCGTTTCTCATTTCCCGGTATTGCTCTAAGGCAATTCCATTCAACATTCACACACTTCATATTTCATGTATCCACATGTGATTTATCATATACCTAGGTGGTAACATGGGCTGCTTGCCATTGGACATCTTAGTCTGGTAGATGCAAGACTTGTGCTCTTGCAGATATCAATGCATGGCTCATGATGGAAGCTGCAAATCTCAAGCTGTTGCACCTTCTGATTTTAGTTTGTCCTGAAACAGAGAGATGCAATGAGTTTCTCCCAAAACGGTTTTTGTTGCATCATGATGGAGCATAAAATGTCGCATTTTACCTAGTCACAATCCTGGAGTACAAAATTCCCTGGTACACATTGTGCCAGGAAACGTCAAGTTTTCCGACACTGCCCCACTGCCACAGCTCATTGTCAAAGATATTTCCCGCCTTGATGACAGAAAACACGCGCCCACCCACTTTACCCCCATGACTCGGTTTGGTACGTCAATAACAGCATGCATTGATGTCCATCGACGCCAGTCTGGTGTAGTTTTACGAAAGCTATCCGATACCCTTTCGCGCCTGGTTCCAGCATGCTCAGTTGTTGAGATAACATGTGACCTGAGAGGCCCCTCGTCCGGCACAGGTGAAACAAACGCCTCCCGGCGGTGATGAAAGGCGTATTTTCACAGTTGTGCTCGTGTTTACCGACCGGCCTTTGCGCTTTTTGTACACGAATGTGTCTTTCGTGACTGCCCTTGTGCTGAGAACCCGCGAAAAGTGATAACAAACAGCATGCAATTGGCGTGTCACGTGACAAATTACTTGGCTCAAATGCCTTTATCACGTGGTCAGCAGTCGATGACTTGGCCACATTGTGCTTACCTTGGCCAGCAACTCTACACTGCAGTTTGCCGAGCGCGAGCGCGTCCGGCCGGTCTCCATCGGCAGTTGCCTTGCGTTTTCATATGAGACACTGAACATGGAAACAGGTAACCTTTGAGGGC